TTCGTGACATGATTGGAGTTGCGGAAAGTGATTGCTCCGCGCGCGTAGGGAATGCTCGCCGTGGGGGGAGTGTCAAAGTGTTCGTCTCGCATTTGTATCATAGGGCTTTTGTCAAGTTCCTCATTGTTTCCTTGTTGGAGCTGTTCGAGTTGGATTCTTGTGTAAATGATGGTGGCAACCTAGGTTATGGTTGCCACCACTGCTGAAGTGCAGAGTGCACACACCAAATGCATTCCTTCTCCCGCTCAACCTTGCGAAATACACGGCCATTCCAGGCGTGCATTACACAGACACGTTTGCGCCCGTTGCATCGTTTGACACGCTGTGTCTGATCCTGTTGCTCACCGCGTATCTCAAGGTCTTGCCGCTGCTGCTCGACATCAAGACGGCCTTCCTGTATGGTTACATCAAGGAGCGCGTGCTCATGGAGCAGGCACCAGGCTTCGTTGACAAGAAGAACTCAGACAACGTGTGCATGCTCGTTAAGGTGCTGTATGGCACCAAGCAGGCCCTGCGCATGTGGTTCTGCCGTTTGGCCGATTACCTGATTTCACTCAGATTTGCGGAGTCCAAGTACGACAAATGCCTGTTCATGCACAAGACGGGCAAGGGTGTGTGTGATCTTCATTGGAGTCTATGTCGACGACTTGCCGATTGTCATGTCAACCAAGGAGCTGCGCAAGTGGATTGTCGACAAGTTGAAGTCCGAGTTCAAGGTGCACGACTTGGGCGATGCGGCATGGTTGCTCAGGTGCAAGATTACGTACAGTGACGACAGGTCAATTTACCTTGACCAGAGCCAGTACATCAAGTCAATGGGCAAGCGGTTCCAGATCCCCGAAAAGATGCGGCCAGTGATCCCGATGCGACCCACCGACTTCAAGGAGCTGCTTGCGTTGCCCAAGATCATTGATCCAGTCGTAAAGACCGAATACCTCGCCATTGTCAGTTCGCTGCTCTTTGCGGCGACCAAAACGCGGCCAGACATTGCTGCTGTGACTGCAGTTCTTGGCCGTTTCATGCATGCACCTGGTACGCTACATCTCGAGGCCGCAAAGCAGCTTGTTGGGTACCTGTTGGGCACGTCGAACCTTGGCATCAAGTTTTTGGGCAAGGATATGAAACTTGACGCGTTTGCTGATGCCGATTGGGCTGAGGATCTTGGCGACTGCAAGTCGACGTTGGGTTTTGTGATACAGGTTGGCGGTAGCCCTGTCGCCTGTTGCTCGAAAAAGCAGATGCTTGTGGCAAAGTCGACCATGGATGCTGAGTACGTGTCGGCAAGCTTAGCGAGCGACACGATCCTCACGATACGGCCGCTGCTGGAAGAGCTCGGGTACAAACAGGACGGACCGACGCCGATCATGGAAGATAACGAGTCAGCGGAGTGTGTAGCCAAGGACGTGCTTCTCTCGTCGAAACACGTTGAGATTCACGCCCACTGGTTGCAGGACCAAGTTTTCGCAAGGTT